GCCTCAAGAGGCGGACTAAAGACTTACTATGATCTTTAAAGTCCTTGTTAGCATGCCTTTGACACTTGTTTGAGTCCTGGACAGAAAGGTGCAAGTAGAAGCAATTACAAATGTGCACAGCTTTAATGATCAAAACGAATCGTTCGTTTTTCAGAGACGGGATGGCAGCGTCGACTTCAACAAAAAATGGATTCAGTATAAGGAAGGCTTTGGGTATCTCTCACCAGACGACAAAACGGAGTTCTGGCTGGGGAATGAGAAGATGCATCTGCTGTCTGTTCAGTCCAGCGTGCCTTATGTGCTGAGGATAGAGATGGTCGATTGGGAAGGCAACAAAAAGTAATGAACCACGGGAAACTGATTTACTTACTCTAAAACACATTCCTGCCCTATATTGTGCTTTTTAGGTTTGAATTTCACAAGTGTTGAAGTTCCCAAATCACCTTAGTTTAACATGTATACACTTTCCTTTAGAGTTAAAGGAATGCTTTTGGTGTCAAACCTGCGCAAGAATCATCCATGCAGAAGTTTTCCTTATCTGCAGTCGCCAAACAGGACTTTGCTCTGCTACCAAAATCGATTCTTGCCAAGTCACATCGCATGACCTTTTCAATCAGATCAAACATGCTGCTGAACATTAGCAGTCAATGAGAGTGTTTGTCTCAGATTTACCTTGCTTTCTCAGGTATGCCGACTACGCCACTTTCAAAGTCGGACCAGAAGTCGATGCATACCGCTTGACGTATGCGTATTACTTTGGTGGAGATGCTGGCGATGCCTTTGATGGGCACGACTTTGGCGATGATCCCAGTGACAAATTCTACACGTCTCACAATGGCATGCAGTTCAGTACACCTGACAAAGACAACGACAAGTTCCATGAAAACTGTGCCTTGCAGGAAGGCACCGGCTGGTGGATGAACCGCTGCCATGCCGCTCATCTCAACGGAAAATACTACCAGGGTAAAGCCTTTAATCTTTATAGGAGCAAAGTCAATAGTATACATGCAGGAATCCCTTTACTGATGCATTCTGTCTTCACAGGTGGCAAGTACACAGAGAAGGACTCGCAGAATGGATATGACAATGGCATTATTTGGGCCACGTGGCAAAGTCGCTGGTATTCTCTGAAGGAGACCACCATGAAGATCATTCCCATCAACAGAATCGTTGCTGGAGGCCAGGAAAGTGGTTCCAAGCAGTTTGGGGGCCTAGGAGACATTTAAAGACCTCACCAAAGCTGTTCTGAGCTATCGGTTTGTTTTTGTGAAACACATGAGCAAGGCATTTTCACGAGTGTAAACATCCGTCTGTCCGTTTCTGGCGTTTTCCATTCTAGACATATTAATTCTGAAAAAGCTTCATACACAAGTCACACTTTGGTCATTTTTTACAACTTGATCAACTCATATAAACAGCAGCAGCTGGTCTAACACATCGCACTCTCAACGAATGAATAAAATCCTCTGTCTTTTGTAAATGAAAAGTGTCCTGTAGTCCTCTTTACTTAAATATGTGAGAAATAACAAAGTAGGTAAGGTTAAAATTAAAACAGGTATATTACGTTACACAAACATATGGAACATTCATTAAAAAACGGGTAATGCTTCGTTTTAATGTGTCCTTGTTACACAAGTTACATTTAATTACTATAGTAATAAGAGTAAATTATGCATAAGTGCAAGCAACTAACACTAAACCGAACCCGGTAACACTTTATTTTAAGGTGTCCTTGTTACACGTTACATGTACTTACTATTATAATAACAATTAATTACATGCAAGTAACCCTAAACCAAACCTTATAGTAAATACATGTAGTTAATTAATACTACTCAGTACATAAATGTATTACACTGTAACAAGGACACCTTAAAATAAAGCGTAACCCCGAACCCTAACCCTACAGTAACTAGATAGTTAATGGGTATTAACCAGTATGTAATTACGCATTAAAATAAAGTGTCCAAAAAGGGCACAAAACAAATGTTGATATGTACATAAAAATAAATGAATGTCTCCTGCCTTTTAATTGGCCTGTTACACAGCACAATTGTGTAAGTGTGTTAACCTCTGTAAGGTTAGTAAGTCAATATTGCCCCACTGTCGTTCTAGATGAACAGGCTGCACTCCAAGCTCCCTGATGCAAGAAGATTTCATCATCTGTGCTGTGCCGCATCAATCAATAAATACTGAGTCAGCTATTTCAACTCAGGAAAGTGCCTTCTTATTTGTATTGCATTTTCACCCATGCATTTCTTTATTCACATACAAAGTAGATCGACAATAAGTGATCGTCTTTCTTTTTATTTTTCAATTTTCCATCATGCAACACCATCAACCTTTAAATGAAAAAGTGTGGACACTTATTGCCATTGAGTTGAAGGAATAGTTTTGCTGAATATTTCCTCCCCTTTAATGAGATGAGTTTCTTCATCAGGTTTGGAGAAATGTAGCATTGCATCGGTGTCTCAGCAATGGATGCTCTGCAGTGAATGGGTGCCGTCAGAATGAGAGCGGATAAAAACATCACAATAATCCACAGCACTCCAGTCCATCAGCTAACATCTGGAGAAGACCAAAGCTGAAACTAATCCAGCATTAAGACACTTTTACTTTAAACCTTTGCTAAAATACGAGCCTAAATCAGATATCAGATTAAGCACTGTTTACAAGTGAAAACTGTAAAAAAAAAAATGTGGGTGGATTTTGATGAGGACAACATCAGCTGTTTGGACTCTCATTGTGACGGCACCCATTCACTGCAGAAGGTATATTGGCGAGCAAGTGATAGAATGATATAGGATAATGCACGGCTAGCTGTGCATTACACGGTTTTAATGCAAACCTGCCAGCCAATCAGAATCGAGTATTCAGACAGACCATGGTATAAAGAAAAAACAAACTCGTCTATATCTGCGATGTATTGTTATAATCAGTGAAGTGAAATTAATCTCTCACTTACATTGCACGTACACCTGCAGTGTTTATGAGAGAATTTGCGAGAGTGCAGAATTCAGTGAAAAATCAACTGAAAATAAAAAAACACTCCGGCGTGATGACTAACCTGAACGCCTCTGATTGGCCATTGCATTCATAAGCTCAACAGAATCGTGTGTGATTGGTTATAATGCACAACAATATAAAAACGAGTAAAAAGAAACATGATGCAGCATGAGCAGATCTAAATTTATTGCCGCAAGTAACACTTTTCACTTCATTTTTACTTTATTCGCGACAGCCTTTACCCTGGAGTTGGTTCGCCCTCTGCAACATCTTAAATTAATTTGCATTTTTAGATGTCATTTAATTGTGCGGGGACATTTTTATCTAATTTGGTGGCCCCGAGTCCCCATTATTTTCCGACTCGCGACTCCCTCCACCTATGAATATAAAACTAATAAATCTTACATCACTTACACTTTACACCAACTGATAGCACTGCTCTTATAAAATAGCTAGTTGTATTGTTAGTGGTCGAAATTGGAAATATGAAAATACAAAGAATTTTTGGGGTACCTAATAAAAGTAATTATGTCTGAAAAGACGGTTAGAACTATATATATATATATTAATGTGACTATTTATCAAATGTCTTTGATCCATTTTTAACATTGATACGGAATTTGTTGAAAAATAGTCTAACGTGTCTATTTTCTTATTTTAAGTATAAATGGTTTATAATTTAGAGGTAAATATTGTTTAGCACCATGAGATCCCAATTCAAAATACAAACTATTAAAAAGTAAACATTATTGAAATCAATTATATATTAATTTCATTTAAAAAGTTACACGTGTGTTGTAAAGAAAGCTTCAAATCATTAAATTATAGATAAGGAAAAACAAACCCTCAGTCCAGCGGGTCAGAAGTGATGCTCTGCATGAAAACACACTCGGTCCTCTGAACACAGTAACATGCTACTGTCCTTAATTTGTCTTGTACCTCTTTATCAAGATCCCATTACATTTATAATTCTTGAGCAGATGATGCATGACGATGCACATTCAAAATGATTGCACTTATTTCTGTTGAGCTTTATCTTTGAAATTTAAAGGGTTGTGAAAGCCTAAAACACAGCTCCCCTTATGCACTGACAGACTATTTAGAGCAACGTAAATATGCACGAGAGTAATGCTAAATACCCACTTTTATCATTCAAAGGGGGTTTTCTGACAGATTCCTGCAGCCAGTGCACATAATCAACTATTCCAATGGCTCCCTTCATATATCCACCCAAACCACACAGTACATATATAAAAAAAGTTTTTTTTTGTTTGTTTTTTTTAATGAATGAAGTCTACATGTGTATGTTCAAACCAGTAGCAAATATGACTCAAATTAACAGTACATTCTTGAACCAATCAGATTATATTAAAAAAAATTCTACTCTGTGAAAGAGAACAGTAGATGATCTGTTGCAAACTTGCTTGTACTCCCTGATCATAAACGTATGATTTAATTTTCACGAAATCATGACAATCAGTCCAATGATTGAAAGCATGTCATTTCGTTTTTTTTAATTTTACAAATTATGTTGGGAAACACAATTTTCTAGACGATAAAATCTATGTTTTATTACTAATTTATAGGGATTTGTTGTAAGTTGCCAAAAAAAAATGTCAAGGTATGAATGCGTCAATTGCTCAGTTTATTTAAACTTGGCAAACATGAACAGCCATCATTTGCAAATAGTTATGTGTTGGGAAACACAATTTTCTAGACGATAAAATCTATGTTTTATTACTAATTTATAGGGATTTGTTGTAAGTTGCCAAAAAAAATGTCAAGGTATGAATGCATCAATTGCTCAGTTTATTTAAACTTGGCAAACATGAACAGCCATCATTTGCAAATAGTTATGTGTTATTATAATTATACTGTAAGAGATCTTGCAGTTGAATAGTTAGCCGGCCTGGTCATATAGACCTGCAAATGCTGTTTGGAGTGGACTGGGAAGAAACCTTGTATACAAGAAATCTATAGATCTGCAGTGTTGCTTTTTTTAATAGATAGAGCAAAGCTAAATGCGTCATCTGATCTGAAGTCTAAAACTGTGGATGTGTCGTTTATGCCATGAGCAGAAACGGTCTTAGATGGCTAAAACGTAACAAAATGAAAAATTTGAAATAGCAAAAAAAAAAAACATTCTAAAATCTTTTTCTCTTCAGAATCTCAGGTTTCCAATTAACCGGGTGGGATTCTTCAGTCTGGAAAAAAACAAAAAAAACTAGTTTTAAAGAAAATCTTAACTTGGTAAATTTGCAGCAGAACATCAAGGCAATCCTTTTCCATCTGACAAACCTTTCAATTATAAACATTTCACAATCGACACATTTTATCATTAATAGTTTTGAGTAGAATAACAAGCAATAACTTACAGCCGTGTCGTCCTCTTTGTAGACCTTGATGGTTTTGTCGGCCTCTGCTGTTATGAGGCGGCTCTCAGACTGATCGAACACGCACGCAAAGATCCCAGACTCGCTGTCTAGAGAACCGGGCTGCACCGCCGCATGAATCCTCTGGAAGTTGTAGCCAGTCCTCCAGTCCCACATGTGAATAGTGCCGTTATCAGCTGATGAGAAAAACAACAGTCAACAACAGATGCATCAATTGACCTATCGGTAAGCCCCGCCCCCTCAGTTACTGTTTATTGGTTGCTCACTCGAACAAACAAACGTTGTTGCTCACTGCCTTACAACGACAGCTGTCAGCGAAAACCTTCTTCCGAGGGGTTTCTGATCAATTTGGGACACAGATGGACCTTCAAGTGGGACTTAAATATGCCTTGGAGGGATATATAAAAGATATTAAAGAGAACAGTTCGCTATTTAGGTTTGTACGTTAGCATGGACTAGTTTTAGCCAGAGATACCTTGCTGAAGCACAAGATGACATTAACGTTCAGCTTGAGCTGATGAAAAGTGTAACTTAATGAGAGTACGACAACCAAAATGAACGTTTTCGTCTTCATGGTGATTGCGGGTGAATGCTTAGGGACGTCTTGCTCCGTTTTGGTTGGATTTAGGAAATGGAATAAAATTAATTCTATTGCCCATCCTCTCAGGATAGCTGGAGTCAGTGTTATAAGTACCCCAGGCACATCGTTTTTCCATTTTTGAAGCATAAACACCAATCTTCCAATGTTTCTCTATGGCGCTGAAGCCTACAGATGTCGGAGTTCCGCTCCTCATGCAACTGATACTCGACTGCCATTGGCTCATCTGCGTTCGAGGGGAGGGGCTTACCGACAGGTCAATTGGACATGAGGGAGGGAATCAGGAATGAGACACAATTCAACATTGTTCAACAGATTTTTAGCAGGACCAGCTTTGCAACGTAAAAGTGTGAAGGAGCATTTCACCTCCAGACACCAGAACTCCATCTGAATTGACAGCCAGCGTGTTGATGATGGCGTTGTGTCCGGAAAGATTTTGGATGAAGTTCCCATCAGGACATTTCCACTGCTTGATGTTGTCTGGAGAGCCAGAGGCAAAGGTGTACCTGATTTTGATGAAGAGACAGGAAAGCTTTGAAACAGATCTGTGGCAATCTGTAACATTGTTGACATGAACATGATTTCTGTCATACGGGAAACAAATTATGGCTAAAAATACATCATGTAAATCTTGCACCAAAATAAAAGCTCTGTTTAACCAGATGCATGAAATTGAAGAAAAAGAAAAAAATACTATCATGTAGTAAAATGTAACGTTCAATGCAAATAATACCCTGGCAACTAACTGTAGTACGTTTAATCTGAATTACTAAAGTTACTAAAACTAAAATAAAGCAATTTATAAATATACATAAAAAAAAGACAAAAGCACAAATAACGAAAACCTCAGAAAAATTTGAAAATGTAAAAAGCCAAATCAAAATACGAATAAATACTAGAATAGTATATAAATACTGTAACAACTAATCAATAAACTACATTATAACCGTTAATGAATATAATTAACAACGAATTTGATTAGTTTGCGTCTGCTTGCTTTGCAGCGAAAACATCTGCCGATCATTGTTTAACAATTTTAATAACCTGTTTTTTTACTGAACACACAGAAAACTGCAATGTCACATGGAAACAGAATGTGGCACAAATTGAAATAAACTAATAAAAAAAAAAGGTGGATTTTATAGGGCCTTAATTCACAACTTAAATTACTTTATTCTGTTTCTACTCCGTTTAAAGGTTCACTACTATATTAGTTAATAGGGATGCACCGAAATGAAAATTATTGGCCGAAGCCAATAAAAAAAAAAATTTTTCCTCGTGTATTTTGCCAATTTTTTTTCACCATTGCATAAATTAAATAGCCAAAATGTTTACGGTTTTGTCTTGCTTTTTAAAGAAAAAAATCAATTACAAAACAGCAATTTAAAAATATTTAACACTGAACGTTTTTTTACATTCTAGCACACTATACCAACAAAGCACAATTTAACGAGTTTGTAAAATAATATTTTTTGGCGATCAGACCCCCTTCTTGAATCAGGCATGCATTTTTTACTGTAAAATTAAAAGCAGCCTTGCTGAACTTCTTTTAAAGCATAAGAAAATATTACAGATCTTAATTTGAACACTATGTGTGCATGTTATAATAAATGTATTAACAGCTATTGTAATGATTATTATCATTATTATTATCTTTTTATTTTACTTTACAGAACAACAGTAAAATTACAACAATACTAACATTTATGAATGTTGGAGTTCTTGCTTTTTATCAACGTTTATTTTGGTGGAAACGTGCAGGAAGACCTCAGCGCTTCTTTTTGTCGACAGCAGATTTATAAATGAGTCTCATTATGAATACGTCACATGCCTTGTAAAAATTCATAAAAATGTGACTTGAGCAACTGACGAGTAACACTGCTTTAGAGCAGATTTTCCTCGTGCTTTGGAACCTGGTTAACAAGCGGAGTTCATGCAGCGCTGTCAGAATACATGCAATGCGTGCCTGTATTAGAAAACATAACGTTCTGCAGTTATTTACTAATTAAGGCCATTTCTCGATTTCAATCATCATCAGTAACCAGCAACAATCACCCCTTCCTCTT